CTCTCTCTCTCTCTCTCTCTCTCTCTCTCTCTCTCTCTCTCTTTCTTGCTATTGGATACTGCTTTGAGAGTGATCACTCTTGACGCGATATTTATTGGCGAAAAACAATTGTCGAAAACTCGAGAGTTTTTCATTCTCGAATGAATACGTATAATCCTGATAAAAAAAAAAAAAAAAAAAAAAAAGAAAGAAAAACAAGGAGAAAAATAGACATATGGGGAAACAGGGTATTTCTCGAAGTAGAAAAAAAGAATAATAATAATAATTAATTCTCTGAATTTGTTTCGTTTCTCGTTAAAGATACTCGTAGAGAACAATCGAGTCTATTATTGAACTTGTAGGATTTCGGTTGAATAGGTGTATTTCAGGAATCTATAATTACTATCGTGAAAATGATCAGAAACCGGACAAAAGGAATTCTCTGGATACGCTCAAATTAATTTCCAAATATAATTTCANTATATATACATATATGTGCCTGGAAAAATTTTTACATTTCATGCGGCGACGAACTAACTCAAAGAATTGAATTAATTCGCAAAAATTAAAATTTGTATTTCCAAAAGGATTTTCATTTTTACGTGTAAATGTATACGCCAAGTTCATTATAAACCACGTTCCGCACCAACACCTATAATAGCAAAGATGTTAATTAAAATCCCTTCCCCTTTACATTCTATTCCCTAAAAAAAAAAAAAAAAAAAAAAAAAAAAAAAAAAAAGAAAAAAAAACCTTTCACGATCCCTTGAGTAGAACGCAGCCGAATCTGCAGAATATAATTTTCAGTCCAGTAATTAATTCACAGAGAAAGAAGGAAGAAATGATTTCTTGGTAATGAAGCTTCGAGATTCAACCTGCTGAAGAGAACGACGAATAACCAAAATCGATCGATTAGTTTTTACATTAATCACGATGAAATCGATTCTCTCTAAAAGTTAATTAAAATGCAATCAATTAAAAATTATAATCCTCGTTATTCTTAATTTAATCAAACCTTTACTCGATGTGAATAAAGATTGGCTTCGTATTCGATCCAAAACGGGGATACGAATGTTAAATTGTAAAATCTGACGAGACAGAAGAAAAATTAATGTTTGAGCTAGTGATTCAACTCGAGCACGTGCGTGTAACGGATTGTTCCAACGTGTCGAAAGAAAAGCATTCTCGCAACGAGAAGCATGAAAAAAAAGAAAAGAAATGGATATAATTTTAAATACGTATTTTTAAATTTTTATTTCTTTTTCGAAAAATATTGCATTATTGGATTACAAAAAAATCAGAGGATTACAATATTTGAAAACATAATTTATTTAACCAGCAAGCCGTTTTGCCATTGGATTTTCTTAAATTAAATAAAACTGTCATACGTTGTTCGTTCCTCGTTCTAAATAATTTATTAAATTTCGAAAAATATCGCGTACATAGGATAAGTAAATCAGAGGAGTAGAATATTTGAAAGCAAATAACAATAATTTATTTAACCAACATCGAATACCAATATCGTTTTGCCATTGGATTTTCTTAAATTAAAACTAAAAACTGTCATATATTATTCATTCATTCAAATAATTTTAAATTTCTAGAAAAAATCTACAATCTCAAATCTCAAATTTATTTAACGCATCGTTTCCAAAACTCTTCCATTCTGAACTTCACATTCTTTACTACTCCTTATACTCCTCATACCATACCTTTCATACCATAAATCATTCATTCAAAGGCAATAAAGAAAAAGAATTCAACAAGCGATAAAAAGAAAATTTTAAAAATGTAAAATAAAATAAAAGGAGTACTCACGTGTTGCATTGGATACGATGTGCCACCGACAAGAAAGTCCCATGCCCACGCGAATATTCGCGCGCAGATGTGCATCGACGTCACTGCCAGTATGGAGACCTTGATCCCGCTGTGTCCAGCGTCTGGGACACCGAATTCCCTCCTATTTCCGCAGCTATGGTGTCCACCTTCCTCTCTCTCCCCTCCTCTCTCCCCCCTCTGTTCTCACATTCCACTCCCTAGAATCCCGGAAACTGATAATTCTCGTCAACGTATCTTCCCGCCATCCGGGCGGTTACCAGCTACCCTGGAGCAACCGTCATTCCCCCTCCCCTCTCCCCTCATCCCAAGATTCAAGGTAAACTCCACTCCGCTCTCCGGTATATGTCGTTAATAGAATCTTCCTCGGTGCAAATACAAATACACGTCTAAAGTCTCTCGTTTCGATAGTTTTGGTTAACCGATCGATCGAGAGACCCGGATTGAACGTGATCGATCGATCTATTCTCGTGGAATAGTTCCGATCTCGTTAGTTAGTTCGGTGTGCAAAGGGAGAGAGAGAGAAATTGTGCAACGTTTTAATTTCGACGATGTCGACGATTACAATGAGAATAATTTTGGATCCGCATTGTTACTGTTCTCTAACGTTTCTTCACAATTGATATTATTGTCCATCATTTCTAGAATTCTAACGGTTTTTAATTGTGGAGATAATTTATTATACGATTCAGCTGCCTCGTGTGTATATAATTCTATCTATGTTGTTTCGATCAGAAGCGAACTAATGAATCTAACCTAAAAAGGTTAAGAAAGATCACTTGAAAATATCGAAAATATAATTCGCTGGAAAACTTTTCGAACGAATCACGACACTATGATTGATGGTGTACGCATTTTTCTCTTCCGAATATCGAATTCAAGATCGATTTTCGAAAAGGATCGAAACACGAGGATCTTCTGGAATTCAGAATTGAGACCGAATCCATGTGCTGGAGAGGCGCATCGAGAGGCGAATTGATCACCAATTAAACGGGCACGATTGTTAATCGTAGTCACTCTCTCGACTATGATCCAACCGAGTACGTCACTCGTACACTCGAAAACGATGGGTAACCGTCACTTTGACCGACCGAGTAATTACGTACGCTGTCACTTCTCACTTTATTGGACACTAATTTCTGGCCCGCTCAACAACCCGCTTCAATCAACCAGAATTGCACACTGTGTGTAACACATTTTCTACACATATATACGAGCTACTTGTTGATCGACACTTGAACAGCAAGCAAGCAAGCAAGCAAACAAGCACCATAGAAACGGTAGAAACTTCAAACACGTCACAGGATTGATCCACTTCCCTTTTCAAACTCGTCGATTGATAATTCCATCTGTCCACGGTGCGCGATCAT